GATTTCCTCCACCCATACCTATCTGGAGCTTTTTGAATATATAACCACAGACCAAAAAAACCCAAAACTTAGACTATAAAATTGGGTCACCAAATTGGTCAATAAAATAGTCGTCGTCCCCCCCCCCCCCCCCACTTTTTCAAAAGGGTGACTATCTTTGGCTTCTTGTTATTTTATAACTATCCATTCTAGGTATGAGCTTTATATTACTCAAATATAAATTTTAAAATCTAGTTTTTAAATGTTTATGCTAGTTTTATATTTTGAATACTTGAATGGATGTGTAATGTACTTTAATTTAGAGTACTGTATTACTATTATTATTATTTGGAGGTCATATGTATTTCTCCATAAAAGATTATAATGTGGGTTCCAGAATCTGAATAAGAACATTTATCTCAGTTCAAGCATACAGCATACCCCTATATTTATTCTTTATAAAGCTCTTACTATTTACAGTATAAGATAAAATGCAGTATTTTATCTGAGGATTTTTACTCTGAAATTTAACAAAGTGTTTATTGCTTACGAGGATATTTCAAAAGAGTATTATGGTTTGCACTGGGTTTACAATCTCAGGTCTTCCTTATATCGTATCAACCAACAGTATTGTTTTAACTGTATCTGTATCTGCTGGATCTCAGTGAACTTTCTAGCAACATAAATAAAATTTTGCATTAAACAAAAATCTGAATTGCCTTTTGTTTTCCTTTGCCAACTTTTGTTAAGTTATAGCTTGCAATATGAATGTCCTCTTTTAAATATTGTTTTAAACCAGATGTTTGCAAGCTATACAGTTTAAATCTGAAGTATGCCATCTGCTTTGAGATCCTTTGGCCCTTGCATAGAATGCAGGAGCTATATCTATTCCAAGAAATGGGTATTCCTATTCCCATTTCTATTCCCATTTCCTATTTCAAGAAATTCCAAGAAACTAAAAATAAAATAGATATCATGGTTACTCCCCCATATCTTTAATAATTGTATGCTACTATCACAATGAAAATTAAAATTTGCTATCAAATTTTTGAGTCGGGCACAGGAAGGAGTGGGAACTTAATTTGTGTCCCCCTGATTTAAATTAACATCTTTTCTTAATCAAAGCATGTTTTCAGAGGCTTGTAATTTATATTATTCTTTTTTTTTTAAACAAATTTTATTAATTTTAAAGACAAACAAACCATCATTAACCATTGAATACATAAAACCTCTTTCCATTATAAATTTTACAAGTCAAATAAAATATTATTTTATACAACATAGTTCTATTTTACACCATTTCCATATGAACATATAAATATCTCTTAGCAAATTTCTCATTATTTCTCTTTACTTTTATTCAATTTCATTATTATTATTATTATTTTTTCCTATATTTATCCAATTTATAGTTATCATCTTCATTTCTCTCTGACTTGATTACCGTTATTCTCATCCAACATTCCTCCAAGGTTTTATTAATTCTCACACAGACATAAACACACAAAACACAAAAACATAAAACTTCTTTTAAGAAAGTAACTTGGCCCCAGATTACCTCTCTCTATATGGACTTCAATTAAATTCATGCTCATCTTATATACCATTACCTATCTTATTTACCATTCTATATCTTCTATATAGCTTCTCCGCTTTTCACTCTTCTTAATTCTATTTTATTTAATTCATTTTAATTTAAGTCATTGTACTTGTATCTTTTGTCCATTCCCGAATTATCCATTTATCTCATTCCCTATAGTGAAAAAAAAAAAAGAATTTCTCCTGGAATCACTAATCAGAGTATGATGCCTTTCTATCGTCCCCCTAAATTAACATTTAAAATAACGCCTAGTACCCAATCTGATTCTGCTTAGTACATTCTACCTACTAACTTTTAAAAAGAAGAAAAAATAATAAATCCAAAATGGTTAAATACATAATTAAATAATAAATCTAAATATTGAATCTTGTAACATTCCAATTATCTATTTCAAAAACAAATGCTACAGTAATAAATTTATAATAACATCAACACAATAGTCAATTAAACTCTTTAATTAAACTCAATATTCTAAACATTCCCTTTAATATTTTATTAAATTTTAAAGTCTATCATTACTAAACATTTCAATATTTTATTAATTCTTATAACATTCTAGTTTTCTATTTCTAATACAAATACTACAATACCATCTTATGTACCTTGCAGAATCTTCTTTTTTTAAAAAAATTATACATTACCCTTTGTCCCTAAAAAAAATTCCTTTTTCCCCATCTTGTTTCAAACCTTTGTGGCTTTTCCCCCCCTTTTCCCTTCCTTTCTTTTCCAACCTGACCTTTTTACCCACCCCCCTCTCCTAACCTCTGCCTTGTTAGCTTCCCCTCTCTGCTGTATTCCTTTTTTCTTTTGCTTTCCAACATTGTGTTGATTTTGCATCTTATTTTTCTCTTTCTTGGGTGTTTTTTAAGTCTTAAGTCCTTCATTTTCCTTCCTCTCTTTCTCCTTTCTTTCTTAATTAAATTTTTGGATTCATTAAAGATGGCATCATCATCTTCTTCTTCTTCTTCTTCTTCTTCTTCTTCTTCTTCTTCTTCTTCTGCTTTCTCCATCTGTTGTTGTGTTTGCTGGTAAATAGCAAGCGCCATTTCTAAAAAGAGAAAGGCTTCTTTCACAGCGTCCTTGCCTTCTTTCTTTATTTTTTCATATTCCTTTCTAAGTTCATCAACAAGTAAAGCCATTGTAAATCTTTTCTTTTTTTCCTTCTTCTTAAAACAACCAAGATGTTTCAAAAGTTAGAACAGTCCCAAAGTCCCAGAGTCATCAATCAGTCCAAGCAAAGCACAAAGTTCTCACTTTCTCTTCCTGGGGTAATATCAATAAAAAGAAAAGAAAAGCCCAATCTGTATTTTAAAGCCTTGTTGCAATTAATTTCTAGTTTCAAAATCTTCAAGGCATCTCCTCCAACAAAATATCAATATTTTTTTTTGTCCTCTCCCTTCCCACTTATCACAAGAAGCCAATTTTTTTGATTCCATAGGGAAGGAGAGTAAACTTTCCTTTCAGCACCTCAGATTTGCTGCTTAAAATTCTCCTCTGGAAACAGAATATCATTCAAAAAGTCATAGCTTTCAGGATGTTAGGTACGTCTTATAGTCCTGGGTCAGCCAAGAAAAACTTTCTCTTCACAAACTTTCTCCCTCTTCCTCCTGCACAGTCTTACCCAGCTGCCGTCTTCTTTGTGGCGGCCATTACAGACCGCCGCTCCACCATCTTGAGAAAAGGGGGTTTTGCCGGCTGGGGAGGGGGTCTGCAACACCCCCAAACCCCTCTCCGGATCCCCCTGTCTTCGGCTGCCTCTACAGGGCAGCCCCAGCCTCCAAACCCGTCCGGATCGGAGGCACCAAGACGGCTAGCGCCGCAGGGATCGCGCAGTATCGCGAATCCCTGCCGCTGCCGAAGTCGACAAACCGGAAGTCCGCAATTTATATTATTCTTATTGCAGCAAAAAAAAACCAAAAAACATCAGAGTGATGATCATAAAGTTCATGATCACTGAAGTTGATTTTATCATATTCATATATTACATATATTTGGCTAAATTCATCAATGTAGCAATCAATGATAGTATATATTTTATGAAGTATTGCTTAATTAGTCATCTCTGAGGCAGTATTGGGGTTTATAAGGCTGAAACACAATCTGCATATACTTATTGGACATTGGCATTTTCCTTTGCCTTTTTTTTGGTAACCTTTTCCATTTAGCTCCACAACAGCCTTGTGAGGGGATCAAATATTGTCTTATGACAATGCTACATCAGGAGAATTATAGGAAACAAAATTATACATTAGGCCCAGCCTTTTTCATTGTTGTTTTCTTTCAGAAAACCTGCCCCCTATAAAGTCTCCCAAAAGAAGAGAAATCCCTGAAAACAGTATCTGGGCCAGACCTTCCTCAAAGCTGGAACTACCATGGATTTAGTGAACCAGCCAATGCAAAGATCAAATCTAATCATAAGATTTGATCAGTGGATACTGTTTAGAATTCAACAGTTGTATTCATTAAGGTGGCCAACCGTCCTCCTTTAGGGAGGACAGTCCTCCTTTTGTAAGTTCTGTCCTCCCTCAAAAAGTGTCCTCCTACATGTCCTCCTTTTTGATATTTGAAGACTAATCTGTAAATCTCCATATGTGATCGATGCCGAGCCGATCTGTTGTGTGTGATATGACGTATTTGTATTTGACATGATGATTCGTCAAGGCTCAGTACAGTGCGGTGAGACACACTTATGAGATGCATGCGCTCCACACAGGAGAATTGTTTTGAGAGTGTGTGCCGTGTGTGAGCAAGAGTGTGCCGTGTGCAAGAGTGCGCCACACACAAGAGTGCGCCACACACAAGAGTGAGCCACATACAAGAGTGAGCCACGCGCAAGTGGCTTTGTTCTTTTTCTTCAATTTATTTGTATTCTCCTTTTCATTGTAAAAAAGTTGGTCACCTTATATTCATAAAACACATGAAGTGCAAACTAACCAGCCACATTGTAGCCTAGCATGTGGTGTAAACCCAGCTGGGGTGATTACTGAAAATGTAGAAAATTGGAAAAGGTAAACCCTAACTAAAGTTCTTATGGGAAAGCATGTTGAATAAACACAGGCCCACTTTGTGTGTGCGTGTGTGTGCGTGTGTAGAGTTCATGTTTATTGAACACATGTGTCCATAAATATTATCAAGTTTGAGGAGATACTAAAATCTTACAGATGAATCCTAATCAAATTGAAATCAAATTTCAGACTTGATTGAAGTTATCTTCAAATCTGTTTCCATTATCTGCATATCTTCCCTCTAAGTTCTCATCCTACTTTCTTATTTGGGGGTTGCTTTAAGAGCAGGTGATCTGGAGAGAATAACTGTCAAAGCATTTGGCCTCCCTCCTCTATATCGGTTGTAAGAACCAATCTAAAAATACATATACATAGGCTGCAACTGCTGAAAAAAAACCAGCCTAATAACTGTCACTGCCAAGGGTCAAGGCAAGCTCTCTTCCAAACATTCTCCCAGAACAGACGTTGCCTGCATGTAAAAGAAGTGAATAAGGTAAGCTCTGAAAGTTGGTGGTGATGATTCCTGTCAAAAAAAATGGATGGGTAATATTAACTATTAACAAGAGAGAGCTAAAGTAGGGGTTAAGGTACCAGGCTAAAACCCAGGAGAGCAGGAACTCTAGTTGTGCCTTAGGCAAAAAGCCAGCTGAATGACCTTGGACTATTCACTCTCTCTCATTCCTAGCAAGAAAGCTGTTTTATTTACAGTATTTATTCACAATTACAATATAATTTCTAAATCTTTCTTGGCACATTTATATATATATAAATTTTCAGATTGTTTTGATTCTTTAAAGTTGTACGATCTTAAAATTTATGATAGATTAGTTTAGCAAAACAAAATAAAATAGGATAAAATATATGTCTTCCCTATACAGGCTGTATAAAACATTAGTTTTTAAACTAGAGTATAATTACCCAAGTGAATAATTTGGATATATATCCTGAGGATAATGGAGCAATTTGTAATTGCTTGTTTGTGAGTCAAGAATCCAGTTTGGGACTTGTTTTGTGGAGGTAATATTATTATTTGAGACTAGGAAAAGAGGCAATTGGTTTAAACAAGTTAAGAATCACTGGTATGGAAGGCTGAGATGGAAATATGAAATCCCAGACCTGGAGTTAAGGTGTTGGGAGCTCCTGATATATATATGTAACTGTTTTTCTCTGGGCTATTAAGCTATTTTTTAATTGTTCTTATTTGTTGTAAGCCACCCAGAGTCTGTCTGAGTGGGGTGACTGTAAGAAATCTAATAATCCCATGCAGGATGGAAAAGTTGTCCCTGTCACCAGCATTTGCTATGTCAGCACCCTTTTGACTTGGACATAGCCTAAGAACAGGAAAGCTTCCTTGGAGAACCCGTAGAATTAAAATACATAAATTCTCTATCTTAGCACTGAAATTATCTGCTTAAGTAATCAATATATGGGCAGAAATTTTAACTTTAATTTTAACATAGCTTAACCAGTATGTATAGAATTTGAAAGATACTTCATAGAAATGTGTAGTTTCTACTTTTGAGTAGTTAGTAGAGGGCTCTGTCTGAACACCGTATGGGAGCTGAGAACACACTTTGGCAAATAGTAACTGTAAATTAGCAAGAATGAGTAAGGTGCCCCTTACTAGAAAGTTCCAATTGCCAAGACATTCTGAGTTGCATAGTCATAGTGAGCATTTCTCCTACTAGAGACCTGAAAAAGGACTCCGGGATATTTGAGAGTCTTGGTTTGCTCAGTTTTGTGAGTCATTGTGGCACTGAGTTTAATCACTGTAGATTACTAAATCTTCATCCTAGCAATAAATGGCAAAGAATCTCAAGAGAACTAAATCAAAGCCTCTTAAATCAAACTAGAGTTTTGATTAAAATATCTGGTTCCTAATCTTTGGGGCTGGGAAGATATGAGGAAATAACTGAAGTAGAATAGTGGCCGATTGTTGACTCATCTGTATATTACTAAAATTCTGGTCATCACCTTTAATGCGGTATAACAATGCATCATAGGGCAACCATTTTTGAATCAAGGTACCTCAAATAAGCTTACTTACAGAATGTGTCCAGAATCTGGGAATCATGACTCCTGAGGGAAAGTTATGGCTGCTTTAATGCCACCAGCTGTGATGCTGTGCTACTGTTGCATCACCTGATCTTCATTTTCAATATTCCACGACAGTTTCCCAACTAGTGTCCCAACCCCTCTCTCTGTCCCCCACCCAGCACCAGCCATTTACCTCCCTCCTGAAAAGGGGAGGGAGGGAGGGAGGGAGGGAGGGAGGGAGGAAGGAAGGAAGGAAGGAAGGAAGGAAGGAAGGAAGGAAGGAAGGAAGGAAGGTGAAAGAACCCTCATGCACCCTTCCTGGCCCATGACACATTCCCCCATGCTCCCCAACATGTGCCACCTCACCCAGGCACCTTCCCCAATGTATGTTTCCTCCCCACCCATGCCTTTCTCAACCCACACAGCACCTCTTGCTCAGCTACCATGCATCCTTTCCGACCCAGTCCAAGCCCCCCATGCACCTTCCCTGACCCGTACTGTATGCCCACACATCCTTCTGACCCATGCTGCCCCTGCGTTCCTTCCATGACCCATGTGGCACCTCTTGTCCATCCCAAATTGCCTTTCCCAATCCACATCTCTCCCACCTGCCTTCCTCAACTCCCCCACATTTTTCCTGGCCTGTTCCACCCTTCCCACATGCCATCCCTGACCTGCATAGAGCATAGATCTTATCCTACAGTTACAGGCTTTAGTTCATAAAGCATTTGTCAGGCACTGCAAAGTTAAAATTCCTGAGAACTATCTCTGTCAGGTTGCTATCTATTGAGAAGCTCTGAATGAAGGATATTGCATTTACTTCAATGTAGGACAATGTGAGGTATTAGGGAAGATGTCACTGCTGTCCCAAAAAGAAAATTCTTTGGGATAGGCAGTAGGTACTGAGCCATTCAGTAAGATTAGGTTCAGTTTGTAGGAATCTTGAAACAAATATAGCATGCAGAAGTTTCCCACCGTATCTTTTGACTGATGCAGAAGTGGAGGAACTATCTCTACAGTAGGTCGGTAGAGATAATAGTTATTGTAGAGGGATTTATCATTGTAGAGGGACTTGTTGCATTAATATCACCTGCTACATAACGTATTTCTGATTTGCTTTACAAATCACTAATATATAACTTCAATCTATTCCAGATGTGCTTTATAAAGGAGTGTGGTTGTGGTTGGGATGTATGTATATATGTATGTATGTATGTATGTATGTATGTATGTACGTTTATGCATATATGTATTTAATTTGTGTGTGTGTGTGTATGTGTATGTGTGCAAGAAAAGGAAAAAGTTGAAAAATAATAGCCATAATGTAATCTTCAACTAAGAACTAAGATTTCAAATTTTAAACACTAGAAATTAATGATGTTAGATCACTGCAAAGTTTTACTCATCCCGCTCTAGGAACTGTCCCTACTGAAAAGATTTATAACTATCAAACATTGGCTCACTGGCAAGCCAAGTTTCCTGTGAAAAGATAATATCATGTTTTATAATATACTTAGCAAAAGTGATATTATTAAGCTTTGCTTTCAACCAGCAACATACCAGGAAATGGCTGTTAATAGGGAGCAGAGAAATGTCATATGATGTAGGATTGAAACTTCATCCTGTATGTTATTCTTCCAGAGGACCTTCTAGAGCAGGGGTCCCCAACCACCGGGCCACGGACCGGTACCGGTCCGTGGATCACTTTGTACCGGGCCGCAAAGAAAATAAAAATAAAAAATAAAATAAAAATGGCGGCTTTCTTCGCCTTCGGTGAATGCTGCTGGGATCAGGGATCAAGGACACAAATGAAAGAAGGGGAGGGAGGAAGCAACCGAAGCCTGTCCTACTCTCTGGCTCAGTGGCTTCGGTTTCCTCCCGCCTCGTTCCTCTCTCAGTCGCTCTCTCGCTCCTCCACCAGCCCAGGAAGAAACTGCTTCAAAGAAGCCGGCAGGGTGGCTTTTCCTGTCGGCGCAGCTCCTGCGAAGCACCCGTTCACCCCCACCCTGCCGCCCGCGGTTCAATCCAGTGCTCCGGTCTGCCTGCCTGCCTGCCTTCGTTTCTGGTTGTTTTGGAGCAGCTTCGGCTGAGAATAATAACTATTCACCTCTTTTTCTCAGCCGAAGCTGCTCCGAAACAACCAGAAACGAAGGCAGGCAGGCAGGCAGGCAGGCAGAATGGAGCACTGGATTGAACCACGGGCGGCGGGGTGGGGGTGAACGGGCGCTTCGCAGGAGCTGCGGCGACAGGAAAAGCCACCCTGCCGGCTTCTTTGAAGCAGTTTCTTCCTGGGCTGGTGGAGGAGCAAGAGAGCGACTGAGAGAGGAACGAGGCAGACACCTGAGGGATGAGGCTGAGGGAGGGAGGGAGACACCTGAGGGATGGGGCTGAGGAAGGCAGGGCTTCTCAGCCGTCCTGCAGGGACTTGTCCTGAGCCGTGGAGACAGCCGTGGGCCGCCACCGCCCAGTGCTCAGTTTTGAAGGCGCTCCTCAGCCCGGCACAGTTCCTGAATCTGCAGCTGAAACCCTCCGTTTTAAATGTCCCAATAGAAGAGAATATCTGTCGCTCAGGGTTGCAATGAGGAGGCATTGGTGCTCCCTGAACTTGGTGGTTTCCTGGCAGACGTTTTATTACCCGACTAGGTAACAACATCAGATGTTACCTAGTCAGGTAATGAAACGTCTGCAAGCAAACCACCAAACTCGGACTCCCCCCCCCCGGTCCTTGAAAAAGTGTTTCTGTGTGAAACTGGTCCCTGGTACAAAAAAGGTTGGGGACCACTGTTCTAGAGGACCTCTTAAATGACTTAATGGTAGTGACCTCCTGAGGGATTCCACAAACAATTTTTTAGCGTCAGGTCCTCTGATTTCTCTTTCCTTATTTGATATTATTGCAATTCTGACAGGAATCTCAAAAGTAGACACAGAATAATCAACAACTGCTTTTATACCTTGTTCCTTTTCAGTTCTTATTGTTGAATGCCTGCTTATTTTTGGCTTGGATAGTGCAGCTTTTGTGTGTGTGTATGCATGTATGAGGTAAATTAATGGAGAAGCTGTTCCATGGGTTACTAACAGTGTATCTCTGAGATCAAAAAGCATCTTCAATATTTCATCTTGTGCACAGCATGGCAGAGCTCTGGTCCTGACAGTTATGGGAGAAGCATCACCCATATTTAAAGTTCTACACTCATACAGATTTATTTTACTTGTAAGATCAGGATAATCACAATTAACACTAATTGATTTTATTTATTTGTTAGCTTAAAGGAATACATAGATATATGTGTAGCATGTTAGATTTTATTTGTATATTTCAGAATTGAAATTATGTAAATAAAGAAAAATAAATATTGGATTGCATACTGTAAACATGGAATTATTTTAAAAGGCCCATTGATTCGGAATTCATGTTGACTTTGTTCCTTTTATCCTGTGAACAGGACTGGGAAAATTATTTTCTATTAGGAGCATCTAAAATCATTTCCAAGTACAGAATTAGAGCCTTTTGCAGAATATTACCATGGTGAGGAACATTGATGACTTCGATTTTTGCCTTCCATCCCATCCTCAATCTATTCTGGAAGGATTACAGACCTTACGTTCCAACCCAAAACTCTCGGATGTCACTTTGATTGTTGGGGAATATGAATTCCCTTGCCACCGCAGTATCCTGGCCCTCTGTAGTCAGTACTTCAATGCTATGTTTTCAGGTGACTTTATGGAAAGCTTTTCAGCACGTGTAGAGATCAAAGAAGTAGATCCCATCACTATGGAGTCCTTGCTTAATTTTGCTTACACAGGAAAAGTGACTATCAATCAGGGGAACGTGGAAGCCTTGATTAGGACATCCAGCCAACTCCATTTCCCCATCATCCAGAAAGTTTGCAGTCGGTACTTGAGACAGCAGATGGATGCAACTAACTGTTTGGGCATTTGTGAGTTTGGAGAGATGCATGGCTGTTCGGAGATTTCATCTGAGGCGTGGTCATTTTTGCAAGAAAATTTTGAACTTGTATCTCAACAGGAAGAGTTTCTTCAACTATCCAAAGAGAGGCTAATTATTTATCTGTCAAACAACCTACTGCAAGTACAAAAAGAACAGAGCTTAGTTGAAGCTGTGTTCAGGTGGGTCAAGTATGAAAAATTGGCCAGAGTGGTGCACCTTCCAGAGCTTCTTGACTTAGTGCATTTGGTTTCATTGCCAGATCAGTATCTGCAAAACATGTTGTCATCTGAACCACTGATTCAAGAATCAGAAGCTTGCCAGGCTATCATTGCTAGACATCGGAGCACGGTCAGTGTTTGGAGATACTATGTATTTTGACCCAGTTCTAGTTCAGTTTGAAGGCTAGAAGGTATGCAACGGAATTCTGGACCAGTGATTGGTTTGCTTGCTATATAAATCTGAACTTACAAAATTCCTGGCTTTTATATAAAATTTGGTTAAACTGGCAAAGACTTATATTTTTGTTCTATGAAAAAAGGTGGCATTTCTTTTTAATAGTCCATCCTGGGCTGGTTAGAGATATTAAGGATTCAAAAACCAAGAAAGACTTTCTACCTAGAAAAATCTCTGGGCTTCTTCGGCTGTGGCTGGGTTGGTAGATAGAGGGTAGTATCTGATAAAATGCACTATTTAGTTTACATATTAATTATAGGGCCAACAGGTTTAAATTCCTTACAATAAATGCCACTCCATTTGTTTTCTTGATATCATATCCTGACAGTAAAGTCTGGATTGAATGGATTGAATGGATATCATCATCATCATGTCTACACTTACGTTATTTTTTGCTAATCAAATTATTCTTCAGAATAAATTTTGAAATGTTAGAATGGTTATCATCATCATAATTAGGATCTCTCTGCAGCATAGAAAGCAACCTGGGGGACAAGGAAAATAGATTTTAAAAAGTCCCACTGAATGATGAACTGTAGATGAATGATTGTTCCGTGTTTACCAAGTGTAACTGAGTTGTAATAGCAATAGCACTTAGACTTATATACCACTTTACAGTGCTTTACAGCCCTCTCTAAGTGGTTTACAGAGTCAGCATATTGCCCCCAACAATCTGGGTCCTCATTTTACCCACCTTGGAAGGATGGAAGGCTGAGTCAACCTTGAGCCTGGTGAAATTTGAACTGCCAAATTGCAGACAACCTGCAGTCAGCAGAAGTAGCCTGCAATACTGCACTAAGCACTGTGCCACCACGGCTCACATAGAGATATGTGCCCCATAACACTACCTGATTGAGATATCAGAGAAAGGCATTTTTAAAATGCATAATTCTATTTTTTTCTTTTTTTTTCTTAAGAAAAAAAATAGTATGTGGTCCAAGTGTGTTCAAATTGTAAAATAAGTGGGAAGACATATGGGAAGAAATCAATGGACTATTCATGCACATTAAGGATAGGCTGAACTTCCTGCTTTGCTTGAGCTAGAAAGTATATAGATTCATTACAGGAATAATTGGGAAGTTTTGCCTTACCAAATGCCACCTTACAATTTTAAATGTACAACATACAAATTGTTGAAAAAAGCAACCAAGGAGTGGTGCAAAATTAGAAGCTTTCTATTTTGTGAAATACTTTTTTTTCCTACTCTAAGGCAGAGAATAAGCCCTTTGTCCAGCAGAGACTGAAGGCTCTTCCACAGAAGCTAGAAGAGGTGCTGGTGGTTGTGGGAGGCAGAGCTTTGGAAGAAAATGATGAAGATGAAGAGCCACTACACTTCTCCAGAAATTTTGCTTTTTATAATACTAACACTAGTAAGTGTCAGAAATCTTTCCTAATATACAGCATCAGAACACCTTTATTTCAAGCCAGAACATTTTATACAATACTCTAGCTCATGGTACTGAGTACTGCAGTGCAACAATAACAGTAGTGTTGTAGAATTGAAAAATATTTATTTATATGCTATCCACCTCACTATCAAGCAACCCTGGGTGAGATATTCGTGATACAAATCTGAAAAGGTAGGATATACATTTTGGCTTTTTGATGTCATCATGGTTATGCTATACTATGGTTGGAATATCTTTCCAGGGAGGAAGTGGGGATGGGAACATTCAGAATATTTACAATATTGGGATCTGCCTATTGCTCTGTTGAATGCACTCCACGTGTTTTTCTGTTCACAGATCTTTGTTTTCTTTTCCTTTGTGGAACTTCATTTGAATTAACAGCAAAACCTTTCAATATTTATAAAGCTAGATTATATTTGTTAACTATTATTTATATATGTTGATTCCCTGATTATAAGGCCTTTCTTTATCTTCTGCCTCATTCAGTAAATGAAAGGAGAAATGGGAAAATAAGTCTATAACTACAAAGCAATCTGCCACATCAAACAGCACTTCTCCAGGCCTACTTTCAATACAAGATATGTTAGTATGGGCAGAAACAATCATGCTTTTGGGTTTAATGTAGAATTACTTACGTTGCCACAGGCAACTTAGATTTCCAGATGACATAATGTTCTGAGTTTTCTTGGGCTGTTTGTTATTGTGAAGCAACTGCATTCCTCCCAGGCTCACATTGACAGTGAAACCTGTCAGACTAGCCTACAAGTTCACTGAAGTTGGAAGAGGAACTAATTTAGAGGTTAGGTTTCTAAATTCTGGATCCTTGGTGTAATCTGGAAAAGATGATGTAATTTTAGGGCAATGTTGACAATATTGTGAACATAGAAACAATGTCCATACATAATTATTGCCAAACATATCTGGGTATATATGTAACAGTTCTAATGAGTCAGTGCTAAATTTTTATTTTTAGAGAAATCTTTGGCCAGTCCTTTCTGCAAAGGGGCCAAGCATTGAGTCTATCTTCACAACTGTCAGTAAATACTGATTGAATGTAATACTGCAATGTGATTGGGATTGTCAGATGCTTATTATATAAACACAAATTTAAATTTTCTATATAAAAAATTATTATTAGCAGTGGTAGTAATGTTCCCCTCAAAAGGGCCCAGAGAACTATATATATATTTTAGCTCTCTCTCCACTGTACCCCATGTTTCATGCATTGCCAATTTACCTCTTCATGTACAACCTTACAAAAATTATTTGCTTTCTCCTTGGCTAAACTTATTATTTATCCCCAATAATCTCTCCCTTTGTCTTGTTCAAGCTATTGTTCCTCTCTGGGCTTTCTTTTTTTCATAGGCCAGCTTTCTGAATTTTATCCGAAATAACAGTCATAATCAGATATTTTTAAGGTTCACATTTGTCGATATTCAGCAGAAAATTCTCAATCTTATATAACCTTATTTTACCTTGTATTTTATCCTCTGTCCTTATAATCTTGTTCATTATCTCTGTTAACATAATACTGACCAGTTAAAGATCTGTTACTCATTATGACGATATATTACCTTTAACTTTATATGGTTTTTCTGTTTGAATATATGCACGGTGGCATTTTCCTGTCCTGAAATTCATCATGAAAACCCCTTTTTCTTGTCTTTGCTTACTTTTAAACTGTTACTATATTATCATTTTGTACCTAAATTTAAAGTTCATGGGAAGATTGGTGCTGTCTTCTGATCTATCTGCCCTTCTGCCAGTGGTGGGATTCAAAAATTTATACTACCTGTTCTGTGGGCGGCTTGGTGGGCGTGGTATGGCTTGGTGGGTGTGGCTTGGTGGGCATGGCAGGGGAAGGATACTGTAAAATCTCCATTGCCACCCCACTCCAGGGGAAGGATACTGTAAAATCTCCATTCCCTCCCCACTCCTGGGGGAAGTTTACTGCAAAATCCCATTCCCTCCCCACCCCACTAACCTGCTTTCCAGCTCTGTTCTCCTGTGCAGGGGAGCAAAAGAAGAGCCAGCCAGTCAGCTGGGGGTGGGGCCAGTCAGAGGTGATATTTGCTCCAAACTACTCAAAATTTCCTCTACCGGTTCTCCAGAACTGGTCAGAGCCTGCTGAATATCACCTCTGCCTTCTGCCCATTATACTATTCATTGTGGTTGCTGTGTGATATGGACTTTTCAATACTTGCCTAAATATATTTTATTTAATTATTTATTTAAACAAAGTATAATGCCTTCCATTTCACTACTGCAGCCCTCTGGGCAATTAACAATGAAAACTAAATAACAGCAAAATAACTCAAATTAATTAAAAAATAAATTACAACAACTGTCAAAATATTATGTGTCAGAGGTCCAAATATATCCTTCCCATTTATGATCAAATAATGAATAAACCACAACAGACAAATCAATGAATTGAGCTCACCAAACACCCAGCCTGAGAGAACAACTAGAGCATTAGAACATCATGCAAGACCAGCATACTTGAAGACACAAAGTATGTCATTTGAACTTCTTATAGCACATTCATTATAAAAAGCCAACTACTTGACTAGGAATTAAAGTTAAGAAAAAACATTGGGATGAGGAGAAACTTAATCCCTAGACCTTTGTTATTGACTTGAAGATAAAGTTGCATACAGTATAGGACATGTCTCTTGGGTCAATGATGGAAAGAGAAAGTAGAGATTTTGGACTTTTGCCCAACATATTATTACTGCTAATACCCTAAAAATGGAAATAATGCAGAACCATCTTTATCATGCAAGGCAAAACTCTTAGGATAATGTAAGAGTTTAAGAGGCTATTTAAACATTGGTTTTTCAATTTTAGAAACATGGATTGCTTTGCCTGATTTTCCAGATTATAATAAATGGGGCTTTTCTATGATTGCTCTGAACAACAACATTTACATTACAGGTAAGTATAGCATACTTTCTGGATTTATGGGTGCTACCAAATCTATAAAACATTTTATGTTTCCCCATAAGACTTATTCTGCTTACCTGATCAATAACAGAGAAAATAATTGCAATACATCCCATAGATCCCATAGTCAGGTAGTAAAAGGCAAGTGTAATAATATCCCATGATTTTATCAGATGCATTTTACCTTTAAAATCTGCAAATTGTAGAAGGCTTGCAGAAGATTCAGAAGCAAAAGGAGTGAACAAATGTCAACTCTGAAAATAATAACAGATCACTTTCACAATGACTATGATAATTATTTCTGGTTTCAGGTGGCTCCAGAGGTTCACAAAATGACACCTGGTCTACAACACAGTCTTGGTGCTTCTGCCTTAAGAATGGTGTCTGGAAGTCCATTGCTCCAATGCTGAAGCCGCGAACAAATCATGCCAATGCTGTTCTCAATGGAGAGATCTATGCCATTGGTGGTAGGAAATGAGATGTGTAATGAAAGAAAGCCTCATTATGCAGAAGCCTTCCAGTCTAACTGATGGCTAGGATTAAGGGATTTGTAGTTACCTTCTCTGGAGGACAGATGGAGAAAGTTACTCTATAGGCATAGGTCAGCAGAGGGCTGAGAGAAAGAAATAGAATTATTATCCAACCTGCACAAAAATGTAACAGTTGAATTGTCAGAAACATTTTTTTTACAACTTGGAGCTGTGTGGTGGGTTGCCAGAGAAAGTCACAACAGCATTCGGTTAGATGCTAAATTAGAAAATTCTAACGCTACCTAAGGTCACTTCTGTCAACAGTGGTTATACTTGGATGAGGACAAAGATGAGGAAAAAATATTTGATACTGCAATTGTCAGAGCTGAAAATGTGAGAGAAAATGACTATAATTCAGGCACATTTTGTAGAAATTGTGGAGAAAAATATTTGGGACTCCTACATGTATTTAGCCACTAACATGGATGAATCTTGGTTAATATGAACTATTTCACATCATGATGTGCACTTAGACCATTTTAGGCCTCTTACATACCATGGATAGATAAGTTTTTATGAGGCTACATGTAACTGGAAAAGAAGAATCAGTCTTTATCATAAGACTGAAAAATATACAGTGTAGATATTACTTTGTTGAAATAAGTAAGTCAAGTTCACACGACCTGCATGTATCTTGCTCTGCCTGAATTTGTTCAAGCTTATGGAACAACCTTTCCTCCCCACTTTTATGTATTTTAAAGGAACCACTATGGACATTGTGGAAGTAGAATGCTATGATCCTTATAATGACAGCTGGTGCTTTGTCAGTCCTGCTTTGAAGTATGTCAGTAATTTTGCTGTAGCCGGATGTCTTGGGAAGTTGTACCTCATTGGTTCTTGTGCTATCAAATACAATACATTGACCCTCCAATGTTACAACCCTGCTATTGGTAAGAAGGAATAGAAAATACTTCTAACAAAGCAGCTGACAGTGCTTTTGCAGCAAGTTTTTTTTTTTTAATAATCATTGAAAGATATTCTCTGACCTGTTTCTAAATGCCTTATAAAACTTGTCACACATAACACCGAATGGAAACCCATCATTTCCTATAATATGTTGCCCACGTATCATACAAATGTGTTGGTCATAATCATGGGCAAGATTTCTGTGTGTAGGACATGCTTCTTACACACACACACACACACACACACACATGCAAACACACACACACACACACACAGAATCTTTGTAGTCAGTTGGACAGTTGGACAGGTGCTCTCATTACAACATCATTAAAAAGGTATGATGTATTATTTCTTGCAGCCACATATTCTATATCACCTTATTACTAGAAATACTTAGTCTTTTTTAATCGAAGATAGCATTTATTTATTTATTTTAAATAACAGTTGCTCATAGTCATCTTTATCCAGCTATCTAGCTTACACATAAGTTCCACACCATAAGCATTTGCTATGAGGAAACTTTCAAGTTACTTGTTTCTCATGGCTTTTTAAAAATCTCTCAGCTAGCATCAACTTGCTAGTTATAATAAGTATTATGCCATGTGAACCAAGGTTAGTTTGCCCAGAAGACATTAGATGACAAATATGAAACATGTGCCTGCATTGCAATAAATGTCAGAATTGCTGCTCATTTAATGCTAGGTAGGGACAATGGTGTTTATCAAATGCTTTATCAGTTGTCCACCATCTCATCTTGTTCTGATATATTCAAAATAGTAATACGTTTTGGGATTTCTTTTATTTCTGGCCATAATTCACTGCCCCCTGTATAGTTATTCACCAAAAGCCCACCTCTATCTCTCTATGCTTCCTTCTACCAACTCTTGAAAAGTCTTGTTGTTCTACTTCATACTGGAAAAATTAAACCAAATCTTACAGTAGTCTGTCTAGAAAAAGCATTCAAAACAACATGGCAATTACAGAAATCAGGATAAATTTCTAACACGTTTTGACAGTAATCTCATGTTTTGATTGGGTAAATTTACCTAGCAGAATGACAAAATATTGTTCAGCAAAATATTGGACAGTGTATTTTAGTATGCTAATTAAAAAGTTAGTTAAATGTAGGCTGGACAGCATAGTAATTAAGTGGTTTAACTAGCTTGGGAGCCGTATTCAAAAAGTGCTCATTAGTAGATCCTCTTCAAACTGGAGATAAACATTAAATGGGATCCCATTGCAGTCCTGGGCCTTGTCTTTTTAGCATGTTTATTAGTGAAGTGGAGGGGATGGTTTTCAAATGATACAATGTGAGATAGCTAAGACTAAGACATTATTACTAAAATAAAGATGATGGTGATGATGATGAATATGAGAGACTATGTCTGAAGCTCTTTTCAGCACTGATGACTTTCTTAGATTGTTTCACATCCATTTTGATAGTCCCACAAAGGTTTTAACACTTAGGCCAAAGAGATAGTTCACTTCCAGTATGATTTTTATTTCATTATCAAGAACATTCAATAACTATGTTTTATGTATCTATATGGAGCTTTTATTTGTTGTCTTCTAGTTTGATGGTAATAATAAAAATAGGATAATCTGAATTTATCATGCTTTAACTTTTATTGATTTTTTTTGCTTAAACCATCTAAATAATAACCAGATATTAACATGTGATTTTAATAAACAGTTTTAAAAATATATTAAATTAATTATTCAGTGATAATGAAGATTTTCATTAAAATTATTTTTTTTAATAGATGTCTGGAGTATAATTGCATCTCCCTTTCTCCCCAAGTATCTCTCTGCTCCTTGCTGTGCCTCTTTGCATGGAGTCATTTACCTTATTGGTGATAATACAAAGAAAGTCTATGTGTACGATCCGGATGCTAACATATGGCAGAAGGTGGGTAAATAGGGAGTAACTATATTATTTTTTTATATAATTATTACTTACATATAATTATTACTACATTACTTGGATTATTACTTACATCTTTACCGATCATATGCAGAATTTCAAAGAATGGGTGTGTTTGTTTTACCTGGTTTTTCTAAGATCGTCTCAATAAAACTAATACTAATAATAATATACTAACAGCTAAAAAGAAATTATTGTTATACACAAGACAATGAAAAACTTTCCCAGCCTTGCACTTTCAAAATGAATTGGGACTTGGCTTCCAGAATTTCACATCTACATTACAACAGAGATTCAGGTTGCCTTAGTAGAATTATCTCTGGTCGGCAAAACAGACCTTGTGGGTCTTTAATATACTGTACAAAGTGGTATCTGTGTTTCAGAAAAACAAGATCTGTTTCTTGAATGATGGTATCTCAAGCAAAAACATAACCTGGTCCTATTCTGCTGGCCACTTGGCTTCAGTAAAGATATAAGCAGTGTTGTTGGAAGTTTGGTTTTCAGTGTCATGCTGAAATCCATCTGCAGCTGTTCACATGGCGTCATTGCTCAGATGACTCCAATGCACAGGACAGGTGCAGAGGATACCCTGCCAGATTCCCCATCTCTTTTAATTTATGAATAAGTAGTTAACACTGTCTATTTTGGCTGCTCATTGGTTCTGCTTTTGCCAGTGCCCCTTAAAAATGTTGTTGGTTACAACTTGTCATTAAACAATTCCTTTCCAAAACAATTTTCCACTTGATTCTGTTAAAGGACTCTTTAGGATGTATCATTTCTTGTTATGATCTCATTGTTTTTCAGATGGATAGGCAAGAGTTAAAGCAAGGCTATGTAATTCAGCCCAATATAGCAGCATACTGTATATTCTTGTTGGATAGGTAGGAAGAAAAGGAAGAGTGACTTTTATGGCTCTTGAGGGCTATACATCAATAAATGTATATCAGGTCCAAAACATGACATCATTCATCTATTTAGTAGGTTTATACACCTAATCATACACTGCATATATTTATACACCTAATCATACACTGTATATACTTTGATTTATTATTAACTACTCTTTTGAATTAAATAATCTGTATTAATTTTAAACTAGGGTCAAGCAGTAATATATAAAGGATTATCTTGTTGAGAGAGAATTTGGGTCTTCTGCTTTTAATGTTACAAACACTAACTAAATGGTCCCCCCCTCAAATCTACAAAAACACAATAAAACACATTAAGGAAAGAGGCATAGTGAAGAGAGCATAATATTTATTTTTAAAATAATAAATTAGAAGATTTTTACAGTATTTTAAAAGGCTGCATCAAAGAAATTCTGTATATAAAATAATAAATGTAGGGTGATTTGCATTTTTAAAATGAGCATGGACATTTTGACAAATTCAGCCAGATCTGTTCTTCTTACATTTTTACAGAAATAATTACAATCACTATTAACTTTGAAGTCTTGTGATCTGATTATTATAATTAAAATATTTTTAAAATTGTGATCCAAATATCTCATGAGTGTCTCTTTTCATACCAATCCATTGAAGGTCTGACAAAGTCCTCTTCTGAATACCATTATTTCCAGAGTTTCATTATGCATTTACTGAGGAGAGGGCTTTTTCTTGGGAACACCATGACTCTGGAGTAGTCATTTCAAGGACATTGTCCTTAATCTAAAAATCCAATGTTTCTGACACAAGGTTAAAACTGATTTAATTGTCAGGCATTTCGAGGAACTATTGTTGGGTTGGTTTATTTTAGCATGTTTTGATATTTTTTAAATTTGCTATACTTACTGCAAACAATTATTAATAAGCAGTCACTATATTTTCAGTGTTATATTATATATTAACTTTAAGTAAATACAGGTAGCTCTTGACCATTTAACAAATGTTCAAAGTTACAACAGTGTCTGCCCACAAAGCTACATAGGAACCTCTTTCAAAATTATGGCCCCTGCAGCGTCCCTTGGTCATTTGCATTTCAACTGACCACAGAGATGCTGCAGCACACCCACCCACCTATTTCCCTCCCTTCCTGCCCTGCCAGATCCCCAGAGACACTGCTTTGCCACCCCATTGGGTTCCACCCTCTCCTTCCCACCTCCAGTCACTGTTCTTTCAAAGATATGCAGAGCTCAGAAAGTCATAATAGGGAAAGCTACTCCCTTACTGGGCCATTGTTGGGCCACATGACACAGTTAAGGGGAAGAAATGTTGCTGCTTTTGCTCGTCTCGTAGTTTGTTCCTCCCTAGTGCCAGCTGTGGTCTTCCCCATCTCTGAGCCATCCTACGTTCTACCTAACAATTCGTGTATTCATTTAACAAATGTATTTGGGAAAGCAGGGATGGGGGTGTTCTTAATTATGTGTTTCATTTACAATACAACTCGAATCTTCAATAAAAATAGGCAGTCTTCATTACTGTTGTAAGGTGAGGACTACCTACAGTTTGTTTCCAGTTTTTTGTACCAGCTCCTAACAGGGGTGAAATTCACAATTTTTCCCTACTGACTCGGTGGGCATGGCTGTGGGCATGGCTTAGTATACATGGTATAATAGTAATAGCAACCAGGGGCAATTTTTTTACCGATTCAAATCATCTCTGCCACCTCTCACAAGGTGGGCCGAGGTGGTTGAATTTCACCCCTGATATGTAATCCAATTTTTCATCTCTTGCATAATTAACCCTCACAGTTTAGTAATCCTGCAAATGATAAGTATCAGTGAGGCTTAAAGATATTCATTTGGAGTACATTTTTATGCATGTGACAGTGTCTGTTTTTCATTCCAGTGCACAAATGTGTGTCTCCCCCTCAACTAGATATGTTCTGTATGATTGTCTGCTTCTTAATCTATTACTGCTCTATGTGTAAATTAAGCTATCTTCTTAAAATATTCCAACATGACTAATGTATATTTTTCAGGTGCAGCAGCTTCATACTTTGCATGAAAATGGTGGAATGGTACCACTTGGTGGTAAGCTCTTTGTCACCGGTGGCTACTGGAAAGGTATGGATGGTGACTATCAAGTGGAGATGGAAATGTATGATTGTGCCAAGGATGTTTGGACAAGGGAAGGGTCACTTCCTTGTTTATGGCTCTACCATGCATCTTCTTCTATCTTCATGGATACTTCCAAGTGGAGAGAACCTTTCCAGTCATGAGTCTGTGGAGATTCTCCATCATCCAGGTTGTGGTTGTCCCAAAGGTGTTTTTCAGGAGGCAACTGGACTTTCTTGTTTTTTTTTCTTTTGAAGAAGTTTCACTTCTCATCCAAGAAGCTTCTTCAGCTCTGACTGGATGGTGGGGAATGGAAGGATTTATATTCCTTGCAGACAGCTGGTCAATTGCATTATTGTAGAGAATCGTTGAGGCCACTTGGAGGTTTATCCTCAGGGTCACCTGAGTCATGCAAATTTTCAGTTGTGATCACAAAGTTTGGTATGAGGTCTCACAGCTTTGCTGTGCTTTGGAGAGATTAGGTGTTCTGGATCTTACACTGTAGATTGTAATTTAAGAATTAAGATTTCATATTTATTTATTAAAAGCTAGGTTGGTGTAGTGATTAAGGTATCAGCTAGAAACTGGGAGACTGTGAATTCTAGTCCTGCCTTAGTCACAAAGCCAGCTGGGTGACCTTGCTCCAGCCACGTTTACTTATTCATAAGAAGAAGGCAATGGAAAACCTTGTCAAGAAAACTTCAAAGGCTTGTCCAGACAGTCTTTGAGAATCAAAAAACAATTGCATGGAAGAAAAAACAATATTGATAGTACTCACCATCTTAATTTTTGTAATGTTTCTGTGATTTTTTTTTACTAGGCATAAACATGTTTCTGAGAAGTGATGGTATAGTATATAAATCACAAGCTTATTTTTGCCACAGTTGGATTATTTTTACAATTAGATGCCATCTTTACTAACAATTGTGAGGAAAACAATATCTTTATCATGATAAAGAACAACAGGCAGACTGATTATTCACTTTTGTAAGATTTTTGTGCAATGTGAATAGTAACTTTAAATTTTTATTTCTGTTCTTCCAGCTTGGGCAATAATATAGATAGTTTTTAATATCTATAGTCCATTAATAATGGTTCATTAATATTAGTACTCCATTAATAATGTATCTAAATATTTTCTGTAATTTCTTATATTATTGTGAACTTCTAAAGAATCTCAGAATTCTTTTAAATATAAATAAAAAATGAATCCAAACTCAATGTGACTGTGGTTTTGTACAATTTTTAATTTTAAAATTTTATATGCTCTTGGTCCAGCTATTATATAACTTTTATGAAATTTATATCTATAATAATCTATGTTGTGACCACTATTTAAAGTTCCTGAAATATTAATCTATCATCCTAGATTTTCTATTGTGTAACACCAAGTTGAGCAACACTAATTTACATATATTAACCTAATTGCTGTATGTTGAATATTGTAGTCATAAAAGAAGGTACTGGCGATGTACAATGCTTTGTGTTTGATTCCAAAACATTCCTTTGGCATACAGGCAAACACACAATATAGCATGTGGCTGCAATTCATGAAGTCAGCTGCATCTGTTTTTGGGACACACAGTAGCTGCTTTAATGAAATCCTCAGAAACACCTTTGGAGAACTAAATTAAAAGCATTGCACACTCTAATATGCATTGACTTTTGTTTTGAGGACTAAATGAAATTTTCATTCCCATGACATCATTTGGATGGTCAAGGAAAATAGAAGGAGAAGGGGAGAGTGAACAGCTTGGTTACCTCATTCTTCTGGGAACAGTAGGCCAAGACAATGACATGAGAGCTCAAGAATGGAACTTAAGATTTCATTTACGCATGAACGGAAAAAAAAGAGGGGGAGAGCCAGACTTTGGTATAGCTATACACATATAGCTTTTTGTAGGATTTCTAAGATGTTACCAGTTTCTGTCCCTTAAGGTAAGAAGGCATCAGGCAAGTGTACTTCACTTGGCAGAACACCTATAGGTTGATATGATACAGCTGATATACAGTGTGGATTTAAGACTAGTGGAACTAGTAAATACTTCAAATATCTCTCCTCTCTTGCCCAAAGCCTTGTCTGAAATTTTGTGGATTTCTTTATCCTTCTTTGATTGCTAGGTCTCTATTTGGCCATATGGCATGTATATTGTATATATTAATAAAGAAATAACGGAAATATGAGCAAGAAAGAGATTATGATTTTTTTATAATTTCTCACACAGCCAAACTTAATTCTCAGAATACAAGAACAAGTGTAGTTTTTTTCACCCCCAACCTGGTTTCCTCAAATAACTTGGACTACAATCTTTAGAATAACCTGCCAACATAAGCTAAAAGTATTGGAACTGTAATCCAAACATATCCAAAACGAGGAAAATCAACATAGGAATTTTGGTATCTCTTCTTTTTGTTCATTTCTTTGAATGTGCTTTTGGTAGACATGATGTGAAATATTCAGAATTATAAAGGAAAATACAGGATGGCCGAATAATCAAGGGACATACTGAGAAGGTCAGTTGTATTCCTGAGTGGTTCAGTTATAACACCCATAATTATAGGCACATCTACATGTTCTGACAGCCTTGTGCAGAACATCTCATAAACCATTTCTTGAAGACCAGAATGTACTATATCATCTTCAACCTGTCCACTATAAAGGCAACCTAGCACTATAAGTAGTGTTTTCTACTTAATATATATGGTGTGGTGTGGCCTGCCTACTGCATAAGAGCCCTGTTACTCTTTCCAGTTTTACATGGAAGACTATGTTTTATTTCTTTACTAAAACTAATAGGAGTAGCTTTGGGAAGCAAGAAAGACCTTTATTGAGGTCCTGAAGATTGATGGGAATAGTCTCGTGGGCAGAGTAAGCACTTTTATAACTGACAACTGAGAATGAAACCAATAATGATCATGTTGTTTATGCAGCAAGGGGAAAATTGCATCCCAAAGTGTAACGCAAAAAAGAAAAGAGTAGATTTCTTTCTGTTACTCCCTTTCAAACCTTTTCTGCTTTTTAAACTATTTCTATTATATCTGGACTAATGTGAATGAAATCATGTACTCTTTGAACTAATGCACGTCTCCTTAAATCTGAGTCATTACTGTAGAAATAGAAATCAAATGAGTACTACTACACTGTAACACCTCCATTCTTTAATTCTCCATTCTTTGATCCAGGGTATTTTGAAGGCAGTCATAAGTTGTCATACTCATCCCTACTGATCTCAGGATGATGAGAAAAGGGAACACCATGAACCAATTAATGCTTCCTCCATTGAACCAAGAAAAGACTGGGAGCAAAAATCCAACCATTCAATTGGTGCCTGATCCCTAAGTTATAGTAACTCCTGGAGTAATAAAAGTATTTCCCTTCCCCCAGGATTTTCAGTTCATATTATGAACTAAAAAAAAAGTAAACTGTTGGTATGATAAAGCTGCATTGTAATCAAAACTTTATTATTCCTGCGTATGAATTTTCATTTAAAACTGTCATGATGACACAATACTGTAATTTTTCAGTTTTTCCCAACAGCTGCAATCAAGGTTGTGAGTTGCAGTGTGGAATCTCTGTGAATAAGAGTAATGAGTGTGGGAGGGGAGAGTGTTAAGCTCAGAGGCTGAGCAAACATGAGACAGAGAGAGACAAGAAACTGAGGCAAGGGAAAATCAACAAAATCAATTATTTTCTTTTTTTAATGCAATTGTAAAACTGAGCAGAAACTGACCAGAAGCATTAAGATCACATTTGTTGATATTGTTACAGAGGACAGAACTTTTTCCAGCTAATGTTTTATTAAAAGGGATAAGCTTTTGTGAGCTGTAGCTCACTTCATCAATCTTGGACCACAACATTTAATTTCCTCAGAGTGATCCCTAAAATGTGTTACTGGAAAAGGTGCTGCCAGGTTCCTCCTGATTATTTAGCAAATAATGTACTCACTTGTGAAATCTACTAGAGAACTCCAAATTTAGCGACTGAGATCTCTATGGCAGCCTAAGTCAACATGCTCAGGAAGAGCAAGGATTGGAGCACAGAGGACATGCTCTTTCTGACCACGTTGTTGATGAAGTATGCTAGATTGTGCACAAATTAAAAATTGTGTTGGAAGAAGATGGAACAGCTAAAGGTTACTAAGTTGTCCTAGTTGTAAGTGGGGAATTAGATGAAGACAACAACCTGATAAAATCAGGGCATGGTTGAGTCCTGTAAAGTGGCTGTCTGGCTGTGCTCAGATGGCTTCCCATGAAGAATGGTGTATCAGATCAGCACTAAAGCCACATATGGAAGGTCCCTTTGAATTTTCTGAGGAATGGGAAGGCTGTGGATATTCTAATCCTCCTTTGACAGACCCATGGACAGATCCTAAGCATCATTTCTAACATTTTTAGTAAAACTGGAATACTGACTTGACTGGGAAGCAAGAGCCATAGAAGCTTCTGTAGTTGAAGAAATGGGTTTCTGTGATTGCATCAGGCCTCTGAAGTTGAATTTTCTTTGTCCTCAGAACACAAGTGCTCAAACATAATATGGCCACTGGCCCAAATATTTAGAGATTATAATTCTGAAAAATTCAAAATCCTTTTTGCCATTTTTATTTTGACTACCAAAAGGAACCATATGGGCTATGACTGCATTTCTCTTTCCCACTGTATTCCTTAGAAAAGCCTCTGAGGAGGCACTTGAACCATATAAAATGGAGTATTAGAAGAAAAAGCATTTCCTGCAATTATGCAAATGTCCACAGATTGAGGGCAATTTCTCTCCCTTGATAGTCTCCATTCTATCTCATACAAGTGTATCTTCAGTCTTTTTTACTAAATCTATTCAAAGGATTGTCCAGGTCAGATGATCAAATGGAAAAATTATCTTCCATTCAATTCTTTAAGTAAACTAAACTTGTGATTAAAATGAAAAATGTAACAATTCTGAAATAAAAATAACAGGAAAAAAGCACATTACAATCTTCTGTACTATGGAACAACTTTTTTGTATTCCTATTATTTTGTTATTACTATTCTTGTTACAGTTTTTACCTGCACTGTGTTTCTTGTTGGTTGGTTCCATTTTCTTTATTTTCTTGAATGTATTACATGATAAATGAGTTAAGATTGAAAAAGTTTAAGAAATGAGACAATTATTTTAATTATAACACTACACATGAAACATAGATTTTACATTTAAAACAAAATAAAACAGCCTTAAGATGTGTCCTTAAGATTAAGAAATACATTATGGGATGAGTGATGCCCTAGAATTCTTTCAACCATGAGGTCTCCCAGATTAAGGCCCTTTTCTCTCAGCCCCGACCTAAGTAAATTCTCTACAAGGTAGAAACAAAGCCAATACAACCATTTGCATTTCATGTTAACCTGTAAGCCACTGAAATTTCATGGAGCCACTTTTAGTGCATACTTATCTCTTTGTTCTGCTGCTGCCAGATCTTGATGAGCTTCCGCATGAATTCTGCTTTTGTAATTTATTCCTGATGCCAAGAGGTGGCTCTCTAGGCCAAGTGACCTTTCTGGTGAGGCGGGGAATTCAAGCTTATTAAAAGAAGGGAAGCTGGGCAAAGATATTCAGACAGGAGCAGAGTGGCAGTAGGGATGTAATCAGACAAGCATACGAGTCCCTGGTTTGAAAAAGAGAGAGCACTGAAAAGAGGTTGGGCCAAGCACTCCAAGGCAGCTAAAGCTGTGAAGGCAACCATCATGGGACTTCTGTGGTTTTGATACAGTTTTATCTATGCTCTGACTGAGAATCTAGGAGAAAGAGAGCAAACAGCTTCTATACCATCTGGATGAGCTCATTTTTTTAAGGGCAGCCCGAAACTCCTGATTTCTGCTACTGAGCTGCTTTTGAAGTAGTCCCATGATAACCTGTTACGCATCTTTGATCCTGAAGAAGAAACTGAAGTGCTCTTTCTGATCTAATGAACAGGTGCAATTGACGGGCTCACACAGTTACATTTTTTAAACCTTACTTTTTTTACAAGCTTTTTTTTAAAAAAGAAAGATATTGATATTCTTGGACAAGTCTTCTGTGAAAAAATAAACCGAAGATACATTGGACAACTTCTTCTTGCAGTTAGTATTCGTTTGTGAAATTTTCACAGATATATTGACTACTGTATATTTTTTGAAAGACCATAGATTAAGTTTGTCTTTGTGTTCCTGTGCCATATCTAATTCTAGTTCTCTGTATAAGCCAAGGGATCAATTATGTGCCAAAATATGGCTAGGCCTTTCCTTTCTGGCTGCCCACTTCAATTATTGGCTATGAGTCTACTAGCAATGTTTTTCTGTGCCAGCACTGTGGAAAATAAGAAACAGGAAGACAGAAGGAACCAGGAAAAGGCATCTCAATGGAATGAAACGAGCAGTCTTCCCTTGCCATCATCCCAGGATTCAGTAAGAACATTTCATATGCTATTTCCTTCTTACTAACTGAAGGCTTCTTCCTCACCTCTTAGTAAAAATTGAAAAGTCTTCCTTGATGAAGAAGTGCCTACAATGGATATGGCATAGATGTTGGGTGGTGAACAATTTGAATATATAAAAAGTATGCCTTTTAATTTATCTTGTCATAGTCATAATTGATTTTTATAGGAATTAATACATATTTATTTGGAGATAAGCTCTATTGAGCGTGATGGGATATTTCTATTAACTCTTCATAGAGTTGCACTGAAAATCATTAGGTAAAAAGCACTTCAGTTTTGTGCCCAGCTGGTCTTGTCTAGACATTATTAGTTGTAACTAGAAGTTACAGAGGAACAGCTCTTGCTGATACCAAGAAAGCTATGTGTCAGTAACTGAAATCACCAGACTTCAAACTCAATTCAAATCTAGAAGATACTTGATGTAATTTTTTTCTGGCTGTGAGAAAATTGGAGTCATTCTGAAATATGATTCTTTCCTGACCACAACATTTAGACTTTATGAATCAGGAAATGTGAGCATGTTTGAGAGAAAAAATAAATAAAGAGGGAGAAATTTGTATCAGTAGAAGTCATTTTGACAATGATAAAAGATAAGACAGTTTAAAGAACCTCACAGAATCTGTATTTATCTGATGAACTCATTAGGAATATTTTAGACAACCTATTAACAAGCAAATAGAAAAAATAAGTTAAAATGTAGATGGAAAGTATCCTCAAAGATGACAGTGATATATGAATGTTTTGAGAGACAAAACAGTGCAAAACCCAATCTGATCAATCATCCTTATGACAAGAACTTGCAAATTCTTTTTTGAATAATGAGAAGCAGCAATATAAACAGATAATTCATATCTTCCCCAATTGAGTGACTACTAGGTTTGCTAAATTACAGTTTCCATAATTTTCAGCCAGTATGGTTAGAAATGTTGAAGAATTATATTCCAACAAACATGAGGTGTAGTACTTTAGGAAAACTAGTCTAGATGGCATATAATTTTCATTCATTCTCAGTGGTTGTTGTTTTTTTTGGAGATATTGCTGTTTTCCCAGGTTGTCTATATTTTGTCATCAACCTATATAGTTGCTTTAATTTTTTCTTATTTTAACTTTTTTCTTATTATGCAAAGGAAAATACTCCACAAAAGATTCATAGCTCGGATTCCCGGAATGCTTGGATGCTCCTCATGAACAATGAAGTGAGGAGCAAAAAAAATAATAAAAACAAGTCCGGAAAGATTAAGGTAAGCAATTTTAACCATGCCGCCTATGTTTTGATATTCTCTATTTTTAAAGATTTTGAAGTCCTGTTCCCACAACCTCAGTCACTAACTCAGCCAAATCTCCTAACTAGTTCTGGTAACATACAGACAAAAGTCATCATTTTAAAAATTCAGAGCCATGGTCATTTTTCCTATAATTGCTTAAGTGTATGAACCACAAGATTAGCACAAGGTTACACTGATCCCTTCTCCATTAGCCAGACAAACAGAAATAGGTGTGGCTTGGTTTCTGCAGCTAATCAGTGTTTAGAGCATGTGTTTGGTGCTAGCCAAGTTTGGTCATAAATTCTAGTTCAATTTTTTTCACCTATTCTTCATCTTTTTTCTAGGGTAGTTGATTATGATAAATGAGACAATTGATGGCTTTTAAGTATTCCCACAACAAATCCAAGGAAAGTTAGTTAACTGTGTGCCTGGTTTGACCACAAGAATATGGATACTTAAGGATTTATTCCAAAGCAGTATAAAGACATAACGTAATCACATATCATGAGATAGCAATCAAGTAATATATAGGAATACTATATAGCATTACTCTAGACCAGGGGTGTAAAACTCAAGGCCTGCAGGCTGGATCTGGCCCACAGGATGCTTAGATCTAACCTGTGGGGCCGCCCTAGCCCACAGTGTCTCTGCCAGTGAAAACGGAGCTTGTGAGGGCCACGCGTAGCCCTCCTGGGCTCCATTTCGGCTGCAACAGCCTCTTGCAGCCCTCTGAAAGCAAAAACAGAGCCCAGGAGGGCCACACAAACTCCTGGCAGAGTACTAGCAATCAAATTACTAACAAAAGGGGCATTTGATCACATGAGTGACATCAAACTGGCCATGCCCATCCTGGGGCCCCCGAAGTCAAACACAACCCTGATGCAGCACTCAATGAAATCGAGTTTGACACCCCCGCCTGCCCTAGACAAAGAAAGACCTTGGGCCCCTTCTGCCAATCGGGGAACCCCAGAGACAACAGACAACCCATCCTAGTAAGCTCTGTACCAAAGTTCCATCCCTTAGGGGCTGTGACTCCCTAATATATACTGTGGAGCATAATTAATCATATCTGCTTTTTTATGGTGTCCTTTCACTGGATTTTACCAGAACTGCCTGTGATATATTCAGGATTTACACTAGTTAATTTGTACATGTGTGAGAGGTTTAAGAAGAATAGTTCAGATATTACAGGTGATATTGTGTTCAATTTGTAATACTGTTCCTGTGTCAGAGGGATTACAAAATGTTTCAAAGCTGATTAATTAAGAGAGGAAAAACAGAAATTAATAAAATGGGTCCCATAGATATGGACAATAAGGATATAAATGATTTTATGTTTGGACCTGAAGGATTAGAACCTAATTATTGTGGTAAATTTGGGTTCTAGTTTGGCATTCCAGGCCTGTTAGAGGCTGCAGAGCCAGCACAATCTCGTCCAGATACTATTACTCAGGAGAAATTGCTGAGGGAATTCCAGCTGCTGCTCAAAGGTAGGAACAAATGTTACTACACTCCAAGAAAATATATTATGCTACAATTAAATGAAAATATAATGAATGTGACTGTTGATTTTATGTATTGATAGTATGGCTGTCTTAATTAATATTCTGGGGATAAACCTTTTAAAATTCCTTTTACAGGGCAAGTGATATAACGTAATGACTAGAGTATATGGCAGATGGAGTAAGGAAGGTTGGATATCATTCAGGCTTTTGGAGGCCCATTCACAATTAACAAAGAGTAGTATGGTTGGTCAGTTACAAGAGGATTGTGCTATGAATTCCTAGGAATTTTAGTACACACAAAAAAAAGACATTGGTGCCCTTATTCTTAAATTGTGAGCCTTGATTAGGACAGGTTTCTAGGCAGATTGCACAAACAGATGTAGGTTTGTTTGACTCTCATGTACAGCATGCTTAAAGTCTGTCACTCATGCTATTTATATAAAATAGTATCAAGCTTAAAAATAAAATTGGCATTGGTTTATTCTGTTTTACTGCCAATCAAAGTAGTAAAGTAAAATTAATTTATAAATGAATTTCAGAAGAGTATATTTTATTTCTGCTTCAAAACATTGCATTATTAGGGATATTTAGCATTTGCTAACTTCCTAGCTGGTCTTTAAAACGTACTGTTCAGATTTTTCCTTTCTCCACCACTGCCAAGCAGAATTTTTAAAAAGGTGAAAACCCTGGGGAATCTTAGAACACTGCATTCTGAATAAGTTTACAATGTATAAATCAGCTCTCTTGAAACTGACTTGTGACCAGTACTGAATATTGGGGTGGGGTGCAGTGTCCCTCCCTTAGGAGTTTGCTTAGATAGCCCTCCATTCTTTCCTCCTCAGATTCTGCTTATTTGCCTACAGAGAATTCTGTGACTTTCCTCCAATAATTCTTAATAGCCTATGGTTAGTATTCTGAGAGTGATGTTTTATTTTTAATTTGATCTCACTAGATGGTGTGAAACTGCAACTCTCTAGTTAGGAAATTGTAGCCAACTACAATTGGCTATTGGCTATTGTAGTTCCAGCATGTTTAAAAGTAACCAGATTGATGAAGACTAGAGAGCATATGAAGTAGCTATATCTCTGAAGAATATTGTAGCCTAAGATATCAGAGATCCAAAACCCTATTTAGGCACTGCCTTCCTATGTAGAATTCAACATGGAGCAGGGAGCAGCCCTTCCTCCTTCCAAACTGTAATGGTGACATCACTAAACAGCCAATTGTCTGTATTTGGATAAGAGGCACCTTTGCATGAATACACACAGTATATGCATACATACACGCATCTCCATCCATACCGCATAAGCTGGAATCCAGAGAGCACAGGGTTTGAATTGGATTGCATGGAATTCTTGAAATGCATTATTCAGATGCTTTGCTGCAGATGGTCACTCGGTAGATACTGGTTTTTCAGTTAGGTAACCAGCTGGAGCTGGAGAAGGGAATGGCTATATACCTCTTCTTGTGTGATGTATGGAAAGCTATCGCCTGAAGATGGTTTCCATCTGCTTTTGCCTCACAAACAAATAAATTGTACTCTGACAATTAAAAAAAATAAAAATGAAAATCAAGTCAACCATATTTTGAGAATAAGATATAATGAGGCAAATCTGTTATAAATCTTTGTATTGATGGCTCAGGAATAATTAGAAAGCAAGAGAGGATCAATATGAAAACCACCAGCAAAACATGCCAGCGTGGAGAGGATGGAGATGGAAAAGAAGAGAATTTATTTCCCCAAAATAGGGTCCCACTGATAACAAGCAGGGAACAAGGACGAATAGAAGCAGCATTCCACTGCCAGACCCGGAAGAACATTTCAGTGGATCGACGGTCCCTTCAAGAACTTCAGCTTTATTATATAGTAAGTAGCTAAAGGAAAGAAGTTGGATAGCGCTGCTTCTAATGCACAGTTCAAATGAGGCCTTATTTGTTGCATGGAACGAGAGGATGGTAACAGTCTTAGATTAGATTGCATCTGTGTGGACTCTCTCAGCATGTAGATTCTGGAGAGCCTGGCAAGGCTTGAACTGGAAAGTGTTCAAGTTTGCTACTCTGAAGTAGAGACAATAATTAGGCCTCTAAGTGAGCCCAACTGTGTATTTGATCTGTTACATTTGGAGAGTAATGGAGACCAGACATCTGACCAGTGACT